ACAATTATTAGATATGTAGATTCCTTAGTATTAGTGCAACCACCAAAGTTTGAACCAAAAATATCCTATCACTTTCGAATTATTGGTTTGTCTTTTATATGAACATGAAATTCTTTATTTCTTTAAGAAATCTCATTACCTTCTTTGTAGTATTTTAATGTTCAAAACATGGATTACTCTTACATCTTCCCAAAACTACAACTACAAATGTAATATAAAGTCTGGTACAAACCTAAGCATACATAAGACTTTCAATAGTTTAATTTGAAATAATTTTCACCTATTTATGTTTAAAGTTATTCTTCTTATTCAATTGAAGTTTACGGGTCTTTACAATGGAAATCACACTTAGTGAACACTCTTTTATGTTATCTCTCTCTAACCCTTTACTAATATTGATCTTTTGAGATAAATCCAAAATACCTCAATCTTTTTTGATAGATCACAATTCCTAACAAAATGTTTTTCTCATTGCCAACACCCAATTTCGTCTAAGTGACTAAATAATATAAATTTTTATTTATTTTTATTTTATTCTCTTTTATGTTAGTTTATGTTACTCTATTTTATTTAGTTTTTTTTTGTAAAGAAAAAAAAAACAAAAGAAAAAAAAGAAAAAGAAAAAAAAGGAAAAAAGATAAATGAAAAAAGCAGGTCTGAGATAGTCAACTAAGCCTTTTGATATGTCATGAGACAATGCTTCCAACACACAGTAAACACCTCTACACGCAATCAACTTCTTTCGGTTTTCTAGAAAGAGCCTTCTGTGCATCATGGTTTCTGCTATTAATTATACACCAAAGGGGAATGACGTTTGGACAAGAGTGGCAACTTTGACAGGCGACTCTTGATTCTCAATTGATCCTTATGGGCTAAATGACAGGGGAGCGGATCCCTTCATCAGGATTCAGTTTTGATTCTCCCGTCGAACATACCCACGCAAAGCCTAGCCACACAACGTTTGACCCTTCCTCACCTCCACCTTCAACCATAATCCACTCTCATTACCACAGCCGAACCCCAAAACTCTTAGACGCCCCTCACTTCCAACACCATCATCATTAACCTTTCGCGGTCTTTCACCTACAACAAAAGACACGATACAAGGCCACAGAGAAGAGGCAAGGAGCATTGACCGGCGATTACAAGCATAGCACAAAAGAGAAAGCAGTACATAGAGGTAAGTCTTACAACTCCACCTTACTGCCATTGTTCTTTGTTCGCTCTTGTATGTATGAGTTTGTGTTTCATTGCAAGAGCTAGCATTTCTGCTTGTTTGTCTAGATTGTTGTTGTTATGTATCCGAATCTATGTTTCTCCATGATATTATATTTTTATTTTGACTCGGCTGTTTGAGCATCGTAATGTCCTCATCACCCGATCATGATTAACTACTGTACCTATGGGCTTGACCTTTCATTCTTCCTTCTAACACCGGCATACAACCCGTAACCACCTAACCACATTTCCTTTCACTCCCCACCTCCAATAAATCCATCATTGATCTCAGACTCTCTTCATTATTTTCCATCATCACGCACATAAAGAGAGGGTATTCTCCCCTCACCTCCAACAACATCAATGATTCGCTTCTCAACGAACTTTGGATTCTTCCATTCACTCAACAGATTCACCGTTCTCTCCATTCCCACCCTTATCATTCTCTTCCTTTTTTCCCTGCATTCAAACAAAAGCATAGAACAGAAACTAAAAACCCATCTTCAATCTCCAAGTCATCTAGAATCAAATTGACGCCAAGAGGAGTGGATTTACCATAGGGTTTTTAGGGTTCAGAGAAGGTAATGGCGTTGTGGCGATATCTCTGTTTGGCTGCGGTGGGAACAATGGTCTCCCGGGGTTAGGATTAGCAAAGGTAGAGGTTGAACCGCCATACACGGCGCGATTTCCTCTGAAGTAAGCAACGGCAGCGTCGACCGGCCTCGTTGTAACGGTGAAGACGTGGCGCGAAGGAGCACGATGCTTCTTTCTCGCACGAAGAAGAGAAGGATAGGAGAGTATCTGGCGCCGTGACCGACAATGACTTCGACGGCGAGCTGCATCACTGGCGCAACCTTGGCTCACGACTTGCAGTGGTTGGCATCGTCGGCGGCGGCGTCAACGTGGCACGGAGAGGCGAGAGTCTCTCTCGCGCGCGGAGAAAAGGTAAGGAGGGAGAGATTGGCGCAGTGGCTAGCAACCACCTTGATGGCGATCGGCGGCGCCGCCGACGCCCTGGCTCTCGGCTTGCGGCGGCCGTTGTCGTGGCTGCCCTGTTAGTACGCCTGAGAGGAGACCAGTGCCTCTCTAGGGTTCCTGCTTCACTGTATAGTTTATCTCCCTTTGGATTCAAGTGGAGGGGAAGAGATGTTGAGCACAAATGAGAGAAGTGGCAGAACCCCTAATGCTTCTGCTTGGAAAAAAAACCCTTGGGCCAGATCCAGATATTTTTTAAAACAAAAAAAAAACTCTATCCTCCCTTTGCACACACCCATCTCCCATGCACACCCCCATTCTGTTTGGGCTTAAGCCCATTCGATTTCTGCTAGACCTCACACCCCCATAATTTTGGGTTTATTTCTTCCTTTTATTTAAGTTTGCTTGTAGTTTATTTGCACTTTGTTATTTCTGCTAGACCTCACACCCCCTAATTCTTTTTATTTAATTTAATTTAATTTATATTTTGACTTTTATTTCATTTTTAAATATCTACCCATTTAATAATACATGAGAAATACATAAAAACTACCAAAAAAAATATTTTAAAGGTTAAGCACATGTGTGATCGCTTGCATCGTCCTTGTGCTAAAAACCTTTTCTCTTTCTTTTATAAAAAATACCAAAAAAAGTTTTTTAAATGTTAAGCACATGTGTGATCGCTCACATTGTCCTTGTGCTGAAAACCTTTTCTCTTTCTTTCATAAAAAAATACCAAAAAAAATAATTTAAAGGTTAAGTACATGTGTGATCGCTCGCATCGTCCTTGTGCTATACACCTTTTCTCTTTCTTTTATAAAAAAAAATACCAAAAAATATTTTAAAGTTTAAGCACATGTGTGATCGCTCGCATCGTCCTTGTGCTAAAAACCTTTTCTCTTTCTTTTATAAAAAATACTAAAAAAATATTTTATAGGTTAAGCACATAAGATCGTTCTTGTGCTAAAAACCTTTTCTCTTTCTTTCATAAAAAAATACCAAAAAAATATATTTTAAAGGTTAAGCACATGTGTGATCGCTCGCATCGTTCTTGCGCTAAAAACCTTTCCTCTTTCTTTTATAAAAAATACCAAAAAATGTTTTAAAGGTTAAGCGCATGTGGGATCGCCCGCATCGTCCTTGTGTTGAAAATCTTCTCTCTTTCTTTTATAAAAAATACCAAAAATGAAAATACCTTCAAAAACTAAAAACATCCATTTTTAACAAGCAATCTTTCAGCCAGAACTACGTGATCCTTAATTCTCCATCAAGAGTGGAGATACGTAAGAGCAAGGCTAGTCCTTGTCAGGTTCACTTCCCAAAAATCCAAAATCATTTCCAAACAAAATTCTCAAACAATTTCCTAAACAAAATTTCCAACACAGTTTCCAAAAGAATTACATAACCCTGATTTCTCATTCTGAATGACAATACGTAGGAGCAAGGTCAATCCTTGTCGGGCCCAAAGAAACTAAAAAATATATTTTGTTTCTTTAGAGTTTTATTTTAGGGGATAGTTAAGCATTTTGAAAACCAAATCATATTCGCGTATTTAGTTAAAGGTACTGCCTTAGGGCAGGCGTTGTAGGGTGCTAATACCTTCCCTACACGTAACCGACTCCCGAACCCAGAATCTGATTTTTCCTAGACCATGCCTTATCCTTTTATGATTTTTCCGTAGTTTTCACGAATAAACTATGGTCGCGACTCCAAATCTCTTTTTCAAAACTCATTCTTTTTTTAGATCATTGTCCTGTCGCAATTTCGGTTGCGACACTCATATCTTTCATATAAAAGATTTTTTGAGAGATTCATTTCACCTAACATAACATATATTTATCATTTGTCGTAAGTAAAACATCATCCACTTATATAATTAAGAAAACAAATTCTACTCCCTTGAGTCATAATATTTTCTTTAAAACTGAATAAAGATATAACTTCATGAATTTTTTAATATCATTATCGGAAAATTTGTTTTAATCCATATATATATATATATATTTATTAAGCTGGCTAACTAACTATCCACTATTACTAAAAAAAATAATCTTTCATGTTGTTTCATTGTAAACCTTTTCTTTTAAATCACAATTAATAAAAGTTGGTTTCACGTAATATAACTCAAATTAAAAAAATTATTAATATCATAATTACTCAAAAAGAAATCCTTTTTAAACATGAGAGAAAACAATTCGTTGTAAAAAATATTACAAGTTATCAATTGTCTCATATAAGTAGATCAAATTATAATCAAACCATAATACTTAAGTTACCATACTCTTAACTAGAAATATTTTTGTCTTGACTATTTTTTAATCAAACACTTGGTATTAGAATTAATATCATGAATTTGATTCAATGTTGATGTTGATATACAATATCCAGCACAAGAATACCTGTCACTTTTAATTGTTGTTAATAAATTTTTATTTGAGAGTTATTTTTATTTTTTTAAGTCAAATAATAAAAATAATGCGATTAATATGATTCATTTACAAATAAATTAAAATTTGATTTTATATATTTATATATTTTTATTTAAACTTATAAAATTAAAAATATTTTTAAAATGATTAATTTATTAATTTTTTATGATTTAAATTTTTATTTGAAAAAAAATTAATTTACGTTAATATTTTAGTTATAATTTGATTTAAATTATATTAAAAAATATTACGAAGTCTTTACTATTTTATTAGTGGATATCTCTCACAACAGTGAAAGAGGAAGTATAGGAAGTTTTGTAAAGAAATGGATAGGTACTACCATTCCAGTCCCGACCCGGTGCAATCCTACCAAACCCAATGCATAGATAGGTATTGGATAAAGGCCATTTGGTCTCAACCCACATTCCTCACACTACCTTTTTCGCTTCTTACTTTGCTTTCTTCCTTTCTATTTTCAACACAATCATCGCAAGGGTTTCCCTTCCACCTCACATGCTTCCGAGGGGAGGGGATTCACGCTCTTTTTCTCCCAATTCCGCCTTTCTTAGTCAACTATTCACTTATTCATGTTGCTTATCCCTTGTGTTCATTTCTGTCAAAATTCACCGTAACTGAAGCTAAAATGTCTATGTGTCTCCCGTAGTGCTTCGTTTCTTCGACAAAAGGAGGTTTTTTTTTTTTCCAGAAAAATTTCTCACATTTCCATGTTTTGGGGTGTTTTGTTAATCTTGTGAGGGGTTTAGAGGAGTTGGGGAAGTGGGAATGATCTGCAAGAGGTGTTAAGAAAAGGGGTTGACGATGTCGTTTAGGAGTATCATCGCGGAGAGGAAGGGATTTGAGTTTAAGTTTGGGTATAGTATGAGATCCAGGTCACAGTCACACAGTGATGCCATTGTCCAGGATCGTTTGGTGGTGCTTGATGGGTTGAAGCAGAGTTGTTGGGCTAACATGCCCCCTGAGCTTTTGAGGGATGTCCTCATGAGGATTGAGGCTTCTGAGGATTCCTGGCCTGCCCGAAAACACGTCGTCGCCTGTGCCGGAGTGTGCCGCAGTTGGAGAGAAATCATGAAGGAAATTGTCAAATCCCCGCAAGTATCTGGCAACTTGACATTTCCAATCTCCTTGAAGCAGGTCTCACTTGTCACCACCATTTTTCACTTATTTTGATCATCTAGACTATGCTTAGATTCTTGCAAGGCTCCTTTGGTTGTTTGTTTTTAAATTTGTAACTTTTGGTTTGTGTGCTGTATTTTGTTTGTGACTTGTGAATTAGTCAATTTGATTCACGTAGTCGGCTGCCTTCTTGCTTGTGTTTTTTTTATGCTTTTGAGTGGGGCTTAGACAATTTTATTTTTACTTACATCATTTTAAGCTTAAGTAGTTTGATCTTAATGATGACAATATACTTATATTTTTCAGTGGTTTAAGATGAATTGCTTCGATCAAGGAAGATTGATGAGTTACATTTGTTTTATGAAAGTTGTTTACTGTTTAATGCTGCTCTGCAATCAATAAAACTTGAATTTGTCGGGTAAGTACTGTTGAGTTATGTGGTTGGCGAGATGAATTTCCAACCGCTCCTTACCCTGAGTGGGAGAGCAAGAAATATTGTTGAAATTTGATTAATTGAAGGCTTTTGTGATTGAAATCGCTAAATTGTCAGTTAAAGTGTATGAAATATGAAATTCTTCTTTTTTCAGTTAGCTTTTCCTTATTTGTACACCCGACATTGCGTGCCTCTTTTGCAACTATTTGTGTTATCGTTAAGGTGAATATACTTATGTAGACATGTTTGAACAGACTTTTCCATAAAAACTTGTAGGACAGAAGAATATGGAAGTTTTTCCATAAGCTAAAATTAGCTTATGCATATATTAAAAAATAAAATCAAGAAAAACTATATGAGAGAGGTTATACAAATTAACTTATGCATAAGCGAATTTTAATCATTTCATTTTTTCTTCTTAACAGACCCTATTATATTATATCCTCCTCAACCTTAGGATGTCTAGGAAAAATAACTTCAGAATAACATTATGCAAAGGAAGCACAAACCATTCTACATTGAAACATTATAAGGATTGGCTTCATGTTGTAATATTAGTTACATAACATGAAATAATTAGTACTGTTTAATATTCTAGTTATTGGCAAGCATTAATCTGCTTCTTATTGTCATCTTGCAGCCTGGTCCTAGGGGCTCTCTTCTTCAGTGCTATATTAAACGAAATCACAGTAATAAAACATATTATCTGTTTCTTGGTTTAAACCAAGGTGAGCACTACCTACTTCTAAATTTAATGTGTATAATGCCTTCTAAGCATTGTGACATGTGGGTTCGATGAACAATCATCCTTCTTTTTAGGCTGTACTGAATTAGAAGTACAATATTTAGTGAAGAGCTGGCCTTTTCTTTTCTTCTATAACCTTCCACGTTGATGCTTTTGTGATGCTGATTTTTATAATCTTCCAGCCTCAACTGAGGATGGCAAGTTCCTTCTTTCTGCACGCAAGTGTCGACGTGCAACTCACACTGACTATATCATTTCTCTTAACTGTGATGATGTCTCAAGAGGGAGTAATACCTATATTGGGAAGCTGAGGTATTTTAGCTGATATTTGACATGACTTGTTACTATGAGCATGTTTGGATTAAAGTTGGGAGAGTTGAAAAATACTTTTACTCTCAAAGCAACAAATCTTTCTTTCCCACTTCATGCATCTGAACGTGCAATTACATTGGAATTCTCCAAAGTATTTCTGTGATTTAAAACCAAACATGAACTGTCTTGTTGGCCTAACTTGACTCTTTTTCTCATTAATAATAGGTCAAACTTTTTGGGCACCAAATTCACTGTGTATGATGCACACCCTCCAATTTATGGAGCCAAAGTTACAAAGTCTCGTTCCTCCAGGCTAGTCAGTCTCAAGCAAGTTTCTCCTAGAGTTCCTGCTGGCAACTACCCCATTGCTCATGTCTCGTATGATCTGAATGTTTTGGGCTCTAGGTATTAGCGTTGTCACTAAAAAGTCTGTTTTGGGTAAAGAGAATTATTTGGGTTGTCAATCAGTGAATGAATATGTTTGGTGACTTTTCCAATGTTATTGATTGTTCTCAGCTTTCCTTTCAAGAGGTGGCTCTATTGACTAGTTGTCAAAATGTTAACAGAGGCCCTAGAATAATGCACTGTGTTATGGATGCCATCCCTGCCTCAGCTGTTGAACCTGGAGGTGTGGCCCCAACACAGACTCAATTTCTTCATAGCAGAATTGATACTTCTCCATCCATCCCTTTCTTCAGATCAAAATCAACCCGCATGGATACTCTCACGTCAGAACCTTTGACTTGTCAAGAGGAGGGGATGCTGGTACTGCAAAACAAGTCCCCCAGGTGGCATGAACAACTTCAATTCTGGTGTCTTAACTTCAACGGACGTGTGACAGTTGCTTCAGTTAAAAATTTCCAGCTGGTTGCTTCTCCAAAAAATGGAGTTTCTGAGCAGGCTCAGGAAAATGTTATTCTACAGTTTGGAAAAGTTGGTAAGGATGTATTCACCATGGATTATCAGTATCCAATCTCGGCCTTTGAAGCATTTGCAATATGCCTTAGCAGCTTTGACACCAAGATTGCTTGTGAATGATTGCTGCCATAAACAGGTAGGTATTCTAATTCTAATAAAAAATGCCATCAATCAGAAACTTTATTTAATGCTTTGAGATGTTTGTCGTTTATACACAAAATATCAAAGTGCAAGTAGGAACACAATGTTATTGGAGCCACCTTACAATTTGCAAAATAATATTTGGTTCACATTTAGACCTTTGTGTAATGGAAATGCTCACTAAGTTGTTACTTTTTACTTGCCAGATATTTTGCCAATCCTGGTGCTGGTTGGAGTTGCACAAACAGTAATGTGGGTAATACCTGCAAAAGATTTTCTACTCTTGTATTTAGTACTGCTAAGTTTCAGAATCACCTTTCCTTTGTCTATTGTATATGGCTGTTTGTTTGCATTATATTTAACCAATGTTGACTTGTAATTTGTGTTGTTTGTGTAGACTAAATTCTTTCTTTTTCCGTGAGTTTGTAGATGACCTTAGTTGTCATTGGTTTGTGAGTTTTCAGGCTGTGTTTTGCGTAGATGTTTTTGGCTTTTGTAATGTACCTGGTTTTTAAGTGACAAAGGCTTCCTAGTAAATTCTATAATTTCTGTGTGCTAATTTTTCCCTCGTGTTCATTGATACTTGATAAAAAAGAAGGGAAGAAAGGGTAATTTTTGTGTGGTTTATAATATATTTATTAATTGAATTATATAAAACATAAAATGATATGCATATATTTATGAATTTCATTTGTAATGACTTATTGATGTAAGAAATTTTTTATGTTAAGTGTAATAAATGTTTTAAAATTAAATAAATATCTGGCAAATTAAACATTTACCACGGTTACTGTGTCCACTTATATTTAGAATTATAGATGAGTATTTATGTAACGGTAATGACTAATGACCTACTGTGTGTAACAAAAGAAAAAATACAGTATTTTTTTAAGGTTTGTTTGAATAAAATTATTCATAATTATTTTATATACAAACTAAGTTTAATCTATGAAAAAATTAATTTCAAGATTTATTTTATTTTACTTTGCTCTTAAAAGGAGTTTATACTAATAACATCTATCATTGGCTGGTATTTGGGTTGTTTCTCTCCTTGTGACTACTTAAAAAGATATCTTTAGGCCAATTTTAACATTCTTCACCACTAAATTTGGGCCTCTGTGATTCCTCTTAACAAGAGAACAAAATCATAATAAAAAGAATTGCATTGAAAATATATTAGCGAATGTGGTGGTGGGATTTTGAAGAGGAACTTAAGTATTGGAATATTTTCATTTGTAAGTTGTGTTTGTAGCTCTCCAACATATTCTCATTAAATAATAACTATGAATCTTCCGAATTTAGATTATCTGCAGAATTTCTTTGTTATTCTTTTTCCTGTGATTTTAAATTTTTTTATTGATTTTGATGTTTTAAAATATATATTTTTTTAAAGTGCCAACATTAGTAGAAAATGATTTTTCATGCCCCTCTTTCCAACTCTTCATAATAATAATACTCATTTCTTCAAACTGCATAATATTCATTTTTAATATCTTATCGATTGTCAAATTAAAGCTTCTGTAATCTGGCTGATAAACTTTATCCCAAAACTTTATCACAAAATTGACATGGTTTAAATTGAATCTTTCTTTTATTTTCATATTGTTAAGATTTGTAAACTTTATATTGTAGCTGCTGCATAATGTGGTGTTTTTTTAAAATTTCGGGCCGAAGACTCTACTTCACTTTGAATGGGATAAATAAAATGAAGAGTGTTTCATCCTACACCTCCAACATCTCATCCTGCACCTCCAAAAGTTCCATTTTTAACCTTCTGACATATGTACCTTCAACTTTTCAAAAATTTTATTTTTTAATAAATATATTTTTATTTTCTTCTCTCTCTTATTAAAGACACTTTAATAAATACATTTTTATTTTTTTCTCTTTCTTATTAAAGTTCCTCTGCACCATTTTAATAATAATCTAATTTAATTTAAAATTTAAATATTATTTAATATAATTTTATATTTTAATAATTATTAAAATATGATTTATATCATAATAATAGTTATATTAAATATATAAAAATCAAATAACTAAAATAAAAGTAATAATGATAAAAATAAAAAATAAAATAATAATAACAATAATATAA